GGGGGGCCGGGCAGGGCGGGGCGGGGCGAGAAGGGCGGCCCGGCTCTCCCGCACCACCACCACCCCCGGACTACATTACCCATGAGGCGCCGCTGCCGCCGCCGGAAGCGCGATGCCCCCGCAAGGGGTTGTGGGAAGCAGGCTTCTTCCTTTCCGGTGCTGGGCGCCATCAGGTGAGGGATTGTCTGTGCTCGGCCTTTCCCTCAATCTGGTTCCATCCCGGGCCCGAGGCGGCCATCCGCTCGCCCCGCTGCCGCATCCGTCCGCCGCCACCCTAGCGGGGCGGGGCGGGGCGCGGCTGCTCCCGCGGCATGGGGTCCTCTGCGGCCCGCCGGGAACGCGGCCTGGGCGGGCCGCGGGCCCCGGGAGGGCCGGTGGAGGGCCCGTGGGCTGCGCCTCGTCGGGGCGGTCTGGGCGCCTGGGGTGTGGGGCGGGGAGGGGAGGTGGACACTCGGTCGGACCCAGGGTTGCCCGGTGTGAGCGGAGGACCGCGCACCGCAGCGTAGCGGGTGCAGGGTGATTACAGGCCGCACGTCCTGGTTGGACTCCGGGTTTGCGGTTGGTTTGTGGTGTTTTATGCCACAATGCGATCGTAGAGGAGGGGGAGCTGGGGGTGGCGAGAGCTAGGCCGTAGGTGGGCAGACTTGAAAAATCACACGTGAACTGGGGGGGGGGGTTGTGCAAATAAAATGAGCTGCCTTTTTCCGGTGGTGATTTGGGTGGGGGTTTGATGGAGTTCACTTAAATCTGCTAATTGCTGCAGGTGTGTGAAAGCTCAAAGGTTTTTAGGGGTAATTAAACCATGTTAAGAACGAATACCACTCCACTCACAGTCACATCCTTCTTTAGATTAATATTTACAACTGGTTTCGGATGTTAACTATCGATTTGGGTAGTATCTGACATACACGTCTGAAAATTCCTCAGCTGAGGAGTTCAGCACTTGAGAACATATGAAAAGGAAGAAAATTGCCAAGAATGGTAACTGCCGTGTGTTCTGTTGGGGGCCACCAAGTGTGAGCCGTGTTACCAGGTGAGGCAGTGGTATAAAGAAGCTTGAGAGCACCCTGTGTTTCAGTGGTGTTACGTGTATGGTTTTATGCAGTGTCTCTTTTGAAAGCTGTTCAAATTTGGAATCGGACTTGGTGCACGTTTTTCATTGACTTCTCGATTCAGCAGGTAGACCAACATGGGTGCCTACAAGTACATCCAGGAGCTATGGAGGAAAAAGCAGTCGGATGTGATGCGATTCCTCCTCCGTGTCCGCTGTTGGCAGTATCGCCAGCTGTCTGCCTTGCACCGAGCTCCCCGGCCAACCAGACCAGACAAAGCTCGCAGGCTGGGATATAAGGCCAAGCAAGGTAATGAGACGTAGAGGTGAAGTCCATGTGCTTCGTGATGTCGTGGCCAAGTTTTTATGTCAGCTTCCTTCCTTCCTTATGTGATAGTAGAGCAGCAAAACCTGAAACTTAAATATTCCACAAGAAACTGAAGTGTCTTGCGTGAAACAAACTTATAATATTATGTTAAATTGGTAGTAGTGCCCACCGCCCAAAACCTTACTTCATGGAGTTTTGAGTTCACGCCTTCTGTGGCTGTTTTGGCAGATGGAGATCAAGCAGGCTTTGGCCTTAATTCTTGTTCTTGTGCTGTGTCACTACTGCAGAGCTGACCAGTGCTTTTAGTATCCTAGGTTTTGGGGGGTGTCCTTCCTCTGCCCAGATTTTGTCATGTGTTACTTTGACTGTATTACAGCTGCGTGCACTTGAGTAAGCAAGATGATGTAGTTTGTACTGTCATGAGAAAACAGTTACTGCTCAGTGAAAGAAACTTGGGGAAAGTGGCCATCCATCTGTAACTTGAGCAAATCCTTGAAACAGTTTGTTCACTATGAAAATAAAAAACTAAGAGTCTACGTTTCTGTTACTGTTTGTGAAGTTTGTCTAGCTTCCTCCTTTTTCAGGGATCAGATTTCAGCAAGGTTTGTGGATGGTTGGTGCTTCAGTGCTTTATGAATGTTATGACCAGAATATGGGATTTTAGGTTTGGGGTGGTTGTTTTGTTAGGTGTTTTGGGGTGGGGTTTTTTGTGTTACAACATAGCTGTAGCTGTTCTTAGCGTATTTGGAACTGGAGAGTGGAAAGGTGCCATGAGCTCTGGTTTGCAACTGAAAAATAGTTGTGACAGGACATCACTTCCCTTACTCACTTGTAATGGAAATAACAAAAACGTCTTGTGCTAGCCACCCCCAGTTGTAGATTTTGGTGAAGATTGGTATAGTGACCTAATTTTGCAGGATTTCCTGTAAAGTTTTGGGGTTTGGAAATGCAGTATGGGCATCAAAATTGTATTGCTGTGATCTGCACTTGCTACGTGACAGAATTCTTAAAGTTCCTAAGTCACCATTTCTTTTAGGTTACGTTATCTACCGTGTCCGTGTTCGCCGTGGTGGTCGTAAACGCCCAGTTCCGAAAGGTGCAACCTATGGTAAACCTGTGCATCATGGTGTTAACCAGCTGAAGTTTGCCCGGAGTCTTCAGTCTGTAGCGGAGGTGACTATTCTGGTTGTTGCTCAAAACTTGGCGGTAGGAAGGTTTTAGTCTATAGACAAAAAAAAAAGCCCCAAACAACAGTTTTGTTGATGTGTTGGGTAAGAGATCTTGAATACAGATGGCAGGAAAGCACCAGAATGTCTTGAAAAGCTGTATTGAGACAAATGAAAAAACTGTTCAGACTTTACAAATTGGGTCTGGAGGAAGTACTACTTAGGTGGTTTATTGAAGTTCATAGTGTATGCTTACTTCTAAAGTATGCCACAATATTTGTAATGAAAATTAGACATACAACTAGTATAAACCCCAGTAAAAATAAAGGGTTAGGCATGAGAAGTAAAAATTCAAATATGCGAAGGTGTCTGACTTCACTCATCACTAAATCCCACCGCTGTGTTCCCTGCCATGTTGTATGTATTACCAACTTTAGGTAATGGTCCTTTCACAAAGTATGGATGAGTTCCTGTCTTAAAGTCTGTAGCACCTGTTTGTGTGGTAGCAGTGCTGCACAGTGTACTTAGCTATGTCACAGGATCTGAAAGCAGCATGCCAGAGACAACCTGGTTCTTTGTAAAATACTTTGGTACCTCACAAGCACAAAGATTCGTGGTTGACTTGTTTTTAGGCAAGATGTTGTTACCCGCTGAAATACTCAAAACGGAAACTTTGATGAGATCTTTTAAGTTTCATAACGTCACAGTAGTAGTGTTGAAGAGATGTAGTTCTCGCCTTTTGAAAAAACTCTTTCAGTGGGTTAGAATTAATACCAGTCTGCAGTCTCAAAAAAGAGACATTGTGAAAAAATGGAGACTGTTCATTGCCTTTCCATCTTGAAGCGGAAGACTTTTTTTTTTTTTTTTTTTCTGTTCCCAGGATTTCAAAAATATTCATAAGTGACTTCAGCAAGTTGAATATGGTGGGGGTTTTTCAAAGGAGGAAAAAAACCCCGGTATACGGGACATGCTAATTTAAAAGAAACACAGATGATTTTAAATTAAAAATGCAGTTCTGTGTTTTCAGTGCTCATGGCATGCTCTTCGTATATGCTGTTCCCAGATACCTGATGGCTAATCACATGCTCACTTGTAGTGACAGCTCATGGGCCCTCAGTTTTAGTTTGAAATTTTCTGATTCTAACACACTTTTTCCTGGAAGACTTACATTTTTTAGACAGAAATATTATAGAAATACAAAACCTCGATTGTAGCTACTGTCCGCACATAGAAGCTGGTTGGGGGTGGTTGGTGTTTTAATGTTTAACATACGTGTTGCTCTCACATGGTAGAATAAAACAAGGACTTGAAAGAATTCTATTACATATGCAGAAAACAGTCAAGTAAACTAGCAATAGGTTGGGATTGCACTGGGATAGAAGATGGGTGGGCTCCATGGGTTCATGCTTTCCCACGGTGATGATAAAGTCCTACGATTAAACACACTTTCAGTTTTTTAAATAAGGAGCATTCTTGACGAGAGAGGCAGATGGAGTTGCATAATTGTTATTTTCTGCTTTGTTTTGTTTTCTAAACTAAGACTGCTTCTTTCCAACCACAAGTGAGGGTAGGAATAGCAAGCACTAATATGCTAGCAGTGGAACAAAGACTTGTTACATCAGCTCTTTCTTTTCTTCTATCAGTATGGACTTATTCTCTGCAGAAATGTCTTTCTCCCCTGTAGTTTTGGATGTGTAAATTGATCAGTCTTTCATAACTTCCCACAAAAGATTGTTCCATGGCCCCAAGTGCAGTTTGTGCTCTTCATCTTCATGTTACAATTGTTTTTAACTCTGTATTTACTGATTGGGTGCTTGTGTGTACAAACTAGTTCTTTCTTTTGTCAATCAAGCACCTTCCTCCTTACGTTATTTAAAACCCATTTCATGTAGGAATCCAAACAGCCTTTTTTTCTTTTTCTTTTTTAATACAGTATTCCTTTCAGCTATTACTTTTTCTTGCATCTTTGCAACTGGAAGGGGACCAGTTCTTTTAGGAAGAGAGGGTCTCTCAGGGCAAATAGAAATTTCTAGCACCTACAAAATCTTGAGCTATTTGTACCTCTCTGCATGAATAGTGCCCTGCATCCATGGCTTTACAACCTTTTGCATTTATTTTTTCCTCTAGGAACGTGCTGGCCGTCATTGTGGGGCTCTGAGAGTCTTGAACTCGTATTGGGTTGGTGAAGATTCCACTTACAAGTTTTTTGAAGTGATCCTGATTGATCCCTTCCATAAGACCATCAGGCGCAACCCTGATACCCAGTGGATCACCAAGCCCGTCCACAAGCACAGAGAGATGCGTGGGCTGACGTCAGCCGGGCGGAAGAGTCGTGGTCTTGGCAAGGGCCACAAATTCCACCACACCATTGGTGGCTCACGTCGTGCTGCCTGGAGAAGACGCAATACCCTGCAACTGCACCGTTACCGTTAATTCTTGTAAATGTAACAATCTAATAAAGCTGATGCGGGTTGTTGAATTTACCAAGTGCTTCTGCTGCTTCTTGGTTTATGTGGAGAAGTGTAGAATTCTCCAGGATTTCAGTTGTTTCCATATTTTCAAAGGCTTTTGAAAATGTAATTTGATATTTGTGAAGATTGTAGGCCCCAAGCATAGAGTTCTGTGGTGGATTTCACTTTTGATAAGACTCAAAAGACATGTGCCGCGTGAATTGAAAGCCTAATGGCTAGTCCATGTTCTTTTTTCTGTTGGTCTGAGTATACTTCTTCACTGTCTGTAGGTCAGGGTCTCTGTCTCCTGTGCTTAGACTGAAGGCCAGCTTTGATCTTGTGCAATGAGATGTAAACTGAAAGTGCTAGTTTATTTTTTTTATAGGTGATTAAATACTAATGCAATTTTATTTTTCAAGTTCTGTTTTTTTGTATGTCTTCAGTGTGAAACCAGCTCTTGAGCCTGTGCTATCTGCAAACGTTGGCTAAATCAACTAAGCACAGAATAGAAAGGTAAGGCTTGCTCTGATCATTAAAGTGCACAGTATTTTAAATACAGACACTTCACAAAGAACTATACATACAGTGTTTTAGGTTGAATAATAAAATATTGACTGTAGAGTAGGTATTAATTTGTGCAAGATTGCAGGCTGTTTGTTTTTCAGCAAAGAGTGTTTCTTGGATCTGTCTTTTGATACCGAGCAGAGAGCATTTCTGTCATGTTGAAGAGCTGCATTCTTGATTTACTCTGCATGGTTAGGTGGTAGAAATAATCACATTTGGATGACAGACAGTTATAGATGCATGTATTTTAGGCTATATTTTGTGAAATTAGTGTGACCTTTCAGCATGAAGTCAACTTGCATGTAAACGCTGAGAGGAGAATAACTGCAACTTCTGGTAAATTAGCTGCATGGCTATCCTAGCTTCCACAGATTTCGTACAACATCCATCGGATAGTGATAGGAAAAGGTATTGATAGAAGGCCCAAGAAGTGGCTGTGTCTTCCTGGAGCTTCAACATGGGATGTGGAAAGATTTGGGAAAAAAAAAAAAAGTGCTGGGACTGAAATGTCCCAAGTTTTGCCCTTCAACTGAGAAATGAACTTACTTTGCTGTTTAAGTTCTTAGAGGAGGATGGTAGTCTGAAGAAGAAACTTTTTGGCAGTGTGTTCTTCAAGCCAGGACGAACAGCTCAAGGAGGCAATCCTTTCATGACATGTTTTGTTTGGCTCAAACAAGAAAAAATTCAAAAGGAATCTTCTCTTAAAAAGTGCTGTCTGGTGCTCTAACGAAGGGAGATTTTTTTTTTTAACCTTGTGAAGTATCACTAGTATCCTTGAAAGCAGCTCCTGTGATGGTGTAGGACAGGAAGTTCCTAGGAGCAAATTTGGTGAATGAGGCCTCCCTGGAGCATGGAGGGGGTTACTGTAGAGAGGGGGCTGATCTTTGCCTTTTGTAGATTTAAGGGCTTAAGGTGGTGCCAGTATAGCCAATGTGTCAGTTTCTTTTAAGGTACCAACTTTGATTATGCTGTACCAGGTTTTGTTAAGCTGTCTAGGACCCTTGCCATTGATGGGGGAAGGTGATAGCAGGTGACTGGGCCATCAGCACTAATGCTGTGTCCTTTGCCAGGGTTCAAAACTTCTAGCATGTGGGGGCTGTCTTCAGTGAGACTTGCCTAAGGTTTCCCCTCGTGGTCCTTTATGTAGCTTTTTGAACTTTAAAATAGGGAGAGGGAAATACTGTCCCCTCCAAAGTTTATTGAAAGCTACTGATGAAAGTGTATCTAAGAAGGCATGGTATGTATCAGACTAGCTAAGGAAGTTGAAGCAGATGGTAGTGTCTTCAAGGAGAGTTGTGGGCATGTATGGCTAATCCCAAGTCTTTGGAAAATCAGATTGCCTTAGCATCTTCTCACACTAGAAGGGTCTTGCACTCTTAAAAAGTGTTTTGGGTTGGAAGGAGGGGAAATGGCAGTGCAGTATTTGTGTGAAGAGGAAAGGCAAATGATCTTTATTAAAATCTATTTTTAAAAGACAAAACATTGAGGAAAAACTTCTTTCTTTGGGGTTGTTAGCTTGGGAAACCAGGCTTAGAGAGAGGTTATGTGACCTGCTTTTCGTACTTGATTTTTGAACCTGTTGTGCAAGGTCAACAGATTGTAAGTCTGTGTTCCTTACGAGTTTGGTGAAAATCGGTCATCTGAGACTGTGGTCCTAGTGAGAGGCTGTTACTTGAATTCAACCCTCCTTGTACACCAAGTCTGCCTGAAACGCGGATACTAAGCTATAGCTGAAGGAGGGCAGGGGGAGGGAAGAGGAAGCATCAGGAATTTCACTAGTGAAGTTTATTAAGACACGAAGGAATCCAGTAATCTGTTTCCAAGGCATCTGCTTGGCTCTGCTTGCAGGACTGATTATTCCTCAGTCTGAACGGGCATGTTTTAGATGTAATTAAAAAAGCTGTCTGGTTCCTAGGCAAGACAAAATGAGTACCACAGTTAAACTGCAGAGAGACGGGGCTGTACAGTACCAGCCTATTTCAGCCTGGTATCAGGTGCTGTTGAAAATAGTTGATTGTAAGCTTTTACTAGGCTGGACTTCACTTTTGTGCCTAGATTAACTAACCGCTTAGCCTTTGGTAGAAGGTGAGGGCCTGGCAAGTAACTCAGCCCCTCTTAGAAACTAACTGTCCTCCTGGGAGGTGGGATGTGTAAAAACAGATTGTGTGATTTAGCATGTTCTTTAAATAAGCAAGTAGTAAACTCCCTTCCCACGTAGCTAATAGAAGTGCTCATTACTTGGCAGCACTAGCTAAGTTGAAAAGTACAGACTTGCTAATCAACAGCAAGTGTAATTGTTTCCTTACATTGTCTCCGAAGCATTGGGAGTTTCTGCAAGGCAGCTGTGTGCTGCAGGGTGAGGGACACCAGTGTGCTGCCTGTGGTAGGCACAGATGCTGATGGAGGGGGCAGTTTGCTCCTTCCTTGCAGCAGAAGGTCACTGAATGTCACTGGTGATTTTGGGGGGGTCTTAGAATGGAGTTAATTGGCAATGGAGGAGAGTAACAGTTTGACTTGCTCACTTATCTCTGTCCTTGTAATGCAGCAGTTGTTCGCTAGCCTTGACCTAGTGAGGAAAGTGACTGCATGTGAACAGCCCTGTCCAGCTAATGAATTAAAAAGCTAGACTCTAAAAATAGAGCCTGATTTCTACTCTTTCATCTACTCACTCTCCAAGATGGGAAAAACCACCATCTTTTTTGCCCTTGTATGGCTCTCTTCTTTTGCAGCACACACAGGTCTAGTTCTGAGAGTATCAAGCCAAAATACTCAGAGTGATGGAAACACTGCTTCAGCCACAAAAAAGCAATTTGGATTTGAATTGGACACTTTTCTGGGGCTTTGAGCAACCACCAACTTTTTGATCCAGTCCTTTTCAAGTAATTGTTTGAAATGTGAAGCTGTGTAAAAGGATGGAGAGCCTGTGGGTAGTACTCTTCATGTGTCAAGGTTCTGAATCAGCCTCAGTTTAATAATTACACACAGAGTGTTTAGATTGCAAAGTCTAGCTCCCTAAAGTTAAGAAGTGCCTGAGCCTGCTTACACAACCTTTAATTCAGTGGCTATTCTGCTCTTACCTAACATGCCAGAAGAGGCCTGTGGCAAAGCCAGGATTGGAACCCAGTTCTTCTGGGCCCCTTGTCAGTGCCTGAAATTTAAGAAAGCATGCTTTTCTTTGGTATCAAGTGATGTTCAATGATATCGTGTAATTAAAGGCTCTTATGTAATGAAGATGACAGTTAATCTCATTAAATACTGTCAACTCTCCATCATTCAGGGGAACGGAGAGCTGGGGTATCCTGGAGATCAGGGAGCTCAGTGGGAGCAGATGAGTGATTAAATTAAGCCTGACTCTCTTAAGATCAATGCTGGCTGAGGTTGCTCTCTCAGAGGGAAGGTAGCCCCCTTCTGAGCCTGCTCAGGTCTCCCTGTGTTGCCTTCCGGGTACCAGGCTTCAGAAAGACCCTTGCTGGTTCGCGTGTTGGACCCTAGCTGGCTCCTTAGGGGTTACGCAGCCTGTGTCTTGTTGCGAAAGGGCTGTGGAGGCAGACGTCTGGGCCCGAGCTGACTGTCCATGTGCAAGCTGAGAAGTTCCCTTGGAAACACAAGAATCAAGAGGCGCATTGAAGGAAAAAAAGGAGAAGAAAAAAGAAGAGGACAAGTCAGCCGACTTCCAGCGGGGCTTGTTAGTACGCTGGTGCTGCCCGGTGACAGGAACGTGTTGCAGAGGAGCCGGCTGCAGCTAGCCAGGGTTCATCGGCCAGGTTTGCGTGGCACGGTCCCCGCAGCATAAACCTGGCTGGACCCAAGTCCCCTCAGCACACAGCTAGCTCCGCGTGCCCCTGTCTCCGGAGTCAATCTGCAACCCCGACAGACCGGGCAGCGGCCACGCTTCCCCGAACCCAGAGCAGAAGGACCGTTCTCCGTTGGTGCTGTGAACAGTAGGCTGGGAAAGGACCAGGTCCAGCGCTCAAGCCCTCCATCTTCCAGGCCTCATCACCAGGCTGCGTGTCAATAGCCGGAACAGCAGGCAGAAACCAAGACCCTGTTATGCTCTGCGTTGTGTTCATGTGTGTAACGAAAATGAGTCGCCATCCCCAGAGAGCTCATATGCCAAGTGGAGGAAGTAGCTCATTAGTCTGGTGTTCGCTCATTCATTTATTCATACATTTTTCTTCCAGCATTGTTTTTCTGTGACTAACAAGCAATTATTTGAACCCTTTCCTTGTATGAGAATCGCTGCCCTTCAACTCATCTGCTGTTACGATCCACCTGCCTCTCTCATGGGTTTCGTGATTAGTCAGATGAGTTTAGATAGCAAGTTACGCAACCTTTATAAAGAACGTGTTCTGAGCTTTGTGTTTTCAGTTCATTCAGAGCTATGTATAAAAATGTTGTCTTACAAGTTGCTATGTTGTTTGCAACTATTTGGAAAGCAGTTTTGTCAATGCATAGTTAAGCAAAGTCAT